TCTCTCTCTCTCTCTCTCTCTCTTTCTCTTCACCCACGCGAATATTTGTTCCGTCAGAAGTACGTTAATCGTAGTATGTATCCTGAGCTGGTTGTACGGTTTTTCGTGAAAAATATCCTTCTCTCAGTTTCACTTGTAAATGTTGGGTACGATCGAAATCCTCCTCACCGTACCCTCACTCTTTCTACCAAATACCAAACTTTTCTACTTCTCTCTCCCGAAGCAACCCCCTCCCTCCGAGTAACCTTTCGCCGTTACTATGCATCACTTGTTCCTTCGTTATCGTTTACTCGTTTAAATATTTAAGCTTTATCGTTAGTTACGTTGGTAGATAAATTTAGTATTGATGTAATAGATACTTTAATAAGGCCCAGTAAGGCTGCGTGGGTCAACGAGCTATCCCACGATCGTTCAACATACGTACTTACATCTTTCGTGTTAAAAATCACCAAGCGTTCGCCGATCGATCGATCAATCGTTCCTTTGTCTTTCGGACACCGACGATAAATGTCTCGTTGGATTCTTCATATATTTCATATATATATTATATTATATTATATATACGTATGCCTATACATATACATATATATTTCTTTTCTATATATGTATACGGTAGTAGGTAAAAGTTGTATCCGAAAAAAGGAAAGAGATGCTTCAATGCTGCGCCCTATTTTCGACGACAGTTAATGAAGTTGTGAGGGGACTAATGCATATGTGCTAACTTGCCTAAAAGAATTGTTGTTCCGTTTTTCGGACCCTCTTTCAGAGAGCCTCGATTAATTATTGTCATTTTGTATTGTTCGTTCGTCGCAACGTACACATACCATACATACCTCTATACCATATTATCATCGAGTGACGTGCGTTGCGTGCTCTTTCGATTACACCCTATATGTACTTACTTAAGTATGTACTTATGTAGCTCGACAGAGTCTGGCGACTCCTTCCTGTACCATTGCTGCGCGTACGCTTTATTCTAAGGCGTGTATGTTTCGTGCGCGTGCGAGCACGCTTCCCTTTCTCCTTTTTTTCTCCCTCTCTCTCTCGCTCTCTCTCTCTCTCTCTCTCTCTCTCTCTCTCTCTCTCTCTCTCTCTTCTATTACGAATTTCGACGCGACTACGTTATTTTGCTTTTTTTTCCCCCTTTTATTATAGATATCTATTTGGAAGATGGAATTTGGAACGTCTTTCGCCAATAGAAAGGCACATAAGCACATAAGTGCACAGATATGTACATACCTATTAGGATAGACTTTTTGATGGATCGAATATCGCGTTGCATACACTTTGTGTAGGCGCACGCGCACGTGCACGTAAACTTGCACCCGAGATTCTTCGTACTTTTTCGAGCGAACAATCTATAAAGTTGTAAATTCTTCGAAACATATGCACGTATGCGACGTTCTCATCGCGTTTATCGGTTCTTACGCACAGGTAGTATTATCCATTAGATTACCTAACAAATAATAATAATAATCGTTCTGTTAGCCGTTTTTGAACACTCAAATACACCCATCCCACCCAATATCGGCCAAGTTCCCATCCTCCTATCCTTGGTGAATTAAATGTTTCGTTCACCTCTCCTTCGTGTGTGTATAAACGTACATGTATGTACACATATACTTACATATAAATATATTATGTACGCATGCATTTATAATAATACTTTTTGTCCGAGTTTAAATCGTTACTCGATACTTTCAAACGTTTCGCATAAGAAACAAGGCAATCAGATTTAGTTTTATTGTATACACTTAATGTTTACGCTCGTATTTAAATATTTATACTCGGCTGAATCACCTCGTGTGTCTGCGTGTGTATATAATATACATATGTAATACATAAACCGTAAATATGGAATCACTTTTTTTTTTCTTTTACTTTCATTAGTTACCTTTCTTCTTTCTCCACTTAGTCGTGTGCAACTAAGCCCTTCCCCCTTATCATCCCCTCCCGCTCACCTATCGCCCTTTCGCACTCTTTCTATCTCTATTGCGACTAGACTAGTGTCCAATGTTCACGTCCAAACGAAGCGCGTGAACTCGTAAAAGACGGCTGTTAGTCAAACCTCCCTAAAGTTTCTCTATCGTTAATCTTTTTCTTCGCGCTCTTACATTACCTCTCTTTCCATCTCACCCGATCTTTTTCACATTCTTTTTCTGTCATTCCACACTTTCGCTTGCGCATTCATTCTCTATCAATTACTCGCTCGCTCGCCCGCCGACACACACACACACACACACACACTCTCTCTCTCTCTCTCTCTCTCTCTCTCTCTCTTCCCCTTATTCTTTTAGCCGCCATCGCGATATACATACACTCGTCGGTAAAGTAGAACGAGTGATTCAAGTTGATCGGACTAGCTAGAAATCTGGCTAGAAAAGTGATTTGGTTGACAGCTGGCTCGCGTTCTTGCTTCGCTCGGAGAATCTCGTCGCGTTTGTGTAACGGGCGTTTGCGATCGCGAACATCGTCGGTCCATCTAGCGTAACCTAAAACTGACGATTGGTTCGCGTCGCGACCGAATAAGCGAGGAGGAAGTTGCGGACCGCGTGCTCGTTCGAGGGTCCGTGTGATTTCCATTCCGGACCAACGGAGCTCGAAGACGCGTGAATTATTTTGCCGCATTCCACCGAGCCGGATATCACCGAGTGAGCAAAGTCGGAACGCGTCAAGCTTCTTGGTACAAATGTTCCGCCTAGTCCAAGTACAATGCATACAATGTATGTACTTGTAGGTCCGGAACGAGTCGAAAATCGCGTGACTCGAGCAGCGCTACACGAGATACTGATATTAAAAAATAGCCTCGACGCGATAAGCAGCTTTATATACTACTATATACTACTATCGCAAGGATATTCGTCGAAAGGTTTGTCGTTGCGTGGCGTCGCGTGGCGTCGCGTGGCGTCAGTTAATACTTAGAATCGAGGTTTGTTGGAGCCCGTTCTCCCGTGGCCGCGCTGCTGCTGCCATCAACTTACATCGAACCGAACCGAACCGAACCGATTTCGTCCAGCAAAGTTTGGAGGAACGTTTAAGGACAGCCGCATTCGTCCACCACCATCTTCGGTAGATCCCTCTTGATGATATTCGAGTCAGGACCGTAGTAGATCAAGGACATTGGCGAGAACTTGAGAGGAGCGCAGCAAGGCTGCATACCGGCCAGTCGATCCATCTTCCGGTATTCCTCGATCACGTGGGTGTAGTAATTGAGGAACGTGTCCGGTGTTCTGTGCCCGGCCGCGCAATCTCCCCTGCAGTAATTTGCGTAGTACCTAATACGTAGTAAATAATGCGTGTGTGTTATTTGCTTCTTATTCTCGTTTGGCACGGTCAAGAGTTATCCGTTAAGTTAAGAGTGTGCTAGAAGAGGGATTTAGAGTAGCTAAGGTCGGTTCCGCGTGGGAATGCTCTCTTCCTGCAGGCCACGCTTCGCTTCGTTAAGCTTTAGACTTACAATTAGATTCTGTTTGCAATAATTGCTCGTAAGTTAACGGTTTAGGGCCGTTGCACTTGTAAGCGACACTCTGATTTCACGGGATACCGTACGAATGACTACAGGCTACCGATCGACGGCTCTCCGCGAAAGCAAGCAGAGTCGCGTGCCAACGCGTAACGTCCCTTTTTCTGCACACCCCTACACGCCACCACGCTCCCAATCTCCTCCACGATTTTATCCTTACCCTTGAGGAGCGATTATCCAGTCGTCCCAACCGAGTTGAGAAAAATTTACGTAGAACCTTTGCTTGCAGCACTGGCCCTTTATAGCACCGCTGCACTCGATCGCCCGTCTTCTAACTCGTTTCACAGCCGCTGGATCCGGGCGAACGACTAGGTAGGGCTTGTCTGGATCTTGCGTAGCTGAAACATGGGAGAAGAGTTTTCTTCAATGGACGCTGGTGGCGCGGGAATGGTCGATAAAGGAGACCCTTCTATTCAGATACCTTTCTCGTCTAAGGACGACTCGATCACGTGCGGAGAATGTCCGTCGAAGGTCGATACGTAAACGTGGGATCCACACCCGGTACAATCGACCAACAACGTCAACTTGTCCCTGGCAGTATCCCGGTTCGTCGTGTACCAACCGTTCACAACGTTGGTCACGTCGAACTTGAGCCACCCCAGTTGTCCGACGTTCACCCCAAGGGACGTAACCATTTCCAGGTGTTGGCCGAGCTCCTACGAAAACGCGTATCGTCTTTAGTTACACGGAGAAATCTTTCTTCTCTCCCCTCCTCCTCTATACGCACTATACTCGATCGGCTGAAACCCGTCAACCGTAGCCGGTAATATTGGAGAAATGATTGGTAAGACGACTTATGTACGATTGCGGTCCGTTTTAATGCGATTAAATTTATAGAAATCGGATGGAAGTGTGAAAGTCGTTCGCCTCTCGGTACTTGTGTATATGAATATAAAGCGTTACCACGAAGGGTGGTAAAGATTACCTTTCCGCGCAAGTGCGTCGTGTTGCCGCATCGCACCCTGAATACCCACAGCGTGATGTTCCTTTGGTTCGTTTGTCCATGACGATGATGCTGATAATGATGGGCGTGCCTGTATTCCACTCTTGCCCAAAGTGTTGCCCTCTTGATCCTCAGAGGTTCCAACGCGGGTTCTCCGCTGGACGTTGGAAAGTCCAGCAACGGTTGCCCGTTCAGCGTACGTCCTGCGAACACGAATAATTGGTCCCGTTAGATCAGAGGACGAGTAGGACCAGAGGAAGTCGTAAGACGTTTCTCTCTCTCTCTCTCTCTCTCTTTCTCTTTGAATGTTATGATATATATTCCGTATATTCCGCTTCGTCTGTAAATCTACCGGAATCGTGGTAACTTTTACCCTGAGCAAAGTTCGAGCCGCGTTACTCCTCACACAACGGAGTGAAGAGATTGTAGCGATCGAGGTGGATTTTTCCTTGCCACTCGCTAGCCACTCCTCTCGTCTCGCGCGCGCCTTGTACAAACTACGCGACAGAGAGAATCAGAGAGAGAGTGAGGTGT